AGTCCTGCCAACATCTCTCTGAGCTCTCATCTTTCCAACCGCCCCCTCCCCAGGTCGCCTGGCACCCGTTGCCAACCTCCACCGCGGCCACACTACGCTGCGTCTCCTAACGACCTCATCCCGCTCTCCCAATTAGCAGAGGCATCCTCTGGCGACAGCAGCTTCCAAAGCCCAGCGAGGACTGAGGTTTGCCAGGTCCAGCCGGCTCCGAAGATGCCCAAGCAGAGCTGTCGGAGCTGGGGCTGCGGGCCAGCTCGGCGGAGAGCGCGGCCGGGGAAAGCGCAGGCAGCAGGCTCAGGGGTCGGTGCTGGGTGGGAAACAAAGGCCCTGCTGGAAAGGAGCTGGTCTTTTCACGTGTTTTAAGCACAATTCAAGTACCAAGCCCCCTCCAGACAAAAGGCTTGCAATCCGAGCTGAGCGCAGAAATCCCACCCCGAGGGTGAGGCGGAGAACCTGGCCTTGCTTAATTCAACGCGCCAGCACTTGTCAACTCTTTAAGGGGGACATGGGGTTGACACGCCTCAGTTTTGTTCCTTGCTTGCTCTTCAGGGTGTGCTGAACAGGGGCAAATCAGCCGCAAAAAGCCTTCAGCCATTATCTCTCTCTCCCAAGCCCCTGACCATGTCTGGTTTCCGAAGCTCAGGGTGGGAAAAGGTTGAAATTTCAAGTGATCTCAAAATCTTGTGTTCCAGAGTGGGAAGAACGCAGCCCAGAGCTGTGCATCCCAGCAGCCTGGGAGAAACCCCAATTCAGCTGAGGCCCTTGGGCTTGTGACCTGGCTCTGAATCTCTTCTCTATGCAAAACCAGCGTTTCAGTTTCTCAGCCGGGGCCAAAGCATCAGCGTTTTTCCTGTGCCGAGACCAGGCCCAGGAGACTACACCGAACTTTTATTTTTCTCACCTGCTTTGCAGGGCAGACTGGTTCCTTCTGGACAGCCGGACGGTTCGCCACGCTGCCATCGGCTTGTTCTGCTGCGGGGTCTCAGTCTACCTAACAGGCAAGTGCTCATTTCCCACCAGCACAGCCCAGCACGGACCGTGCATTTTCAGCCCAGACGATACATCCTGCAGTGATTGCTGGTGAGCTGCTGAGTTTCTACTTCAGCGTTGGGTTTGTTTCGCAAACGGCTTTGCCAGCTCATTCCTGTAGCACGAACTTTCTGTTCTCAGTGACTAGCCCTCACGAGGGCTCCTCTGGCCTGAATTTTGCAGGTCAAAAATCATCGCTTTAGTCTTTCTGGTTCCTCAACGTGTTCCGCGCTCTCCTTTCCTTCCAGCTCTCGCCATCTACATGCTGCTGCTGTTTGAACTGGAGGCCGGCATTGCCAGCGCTTGTATCCTCTCCTCCGGCATCGTTGTCCTGCTGATCACGGTAACGCACGCCCTGGTACGGGCTTCCCAGGTTTCGCGCCGCAGCCGCTCCGAGGTCTCTCACACCCTGTACGAGAACGACTCTGCCCAGCACGGCGAATCCTCCAGCAGCGATCTGAACAACAAGAACGCAGCTGCACCCCAGCCCCGGCCCGAGATCCACCGGGAATTTTCCTTCCCTCCTTTCCTGGAGCACAAATCCCAGCTGGGCTCTCCGGCCAGCAGCAACCTCACCTCCTCAGGCAGCCCTGGGCTTTGCTCCGAGAAGGAGAGCTACAACCCGCCCCGAGCGCGCAGGACGCTGTCGGCAGAGCCAGGCCCGCTGCAGGCACAGGGCAAGCCCTGGAACGGCGTCACACAGGAGATGAGGAACATGCTGTCGCGCAAACCCGGAGCCTCGGGCAAGGACTCGACGCTGGTGTGAGTGGAAGTGGGACTTTTTTGCCCCATCTCGTCCCAGGGGAGCTGCAGGCACCAGGGCTGAGATTTGCATCTCTATTTAGAGCTTAATATAGGTCATGTCTCACCAGCGCAGGGGGGTGGCTGTTTTTCCACCCTCCGCCCTCGCGCCGGTGCAGCCACTGCCTGCTGCTCTTCGCTGCTTTTACAGAGAAGATGCCACCTCCACTCAAAGTCAAAAGCCCTCGGCCGCCTGCCCCGAGCCCCCCGCCCCTCCTGCCACCTGCGATGCTGCTGGCACTTGCCACCCCACGACCAAGGACCACGTTGGCAGGGCAGCGACCTATGCAGGACCCCCACAGCTGTCCCAGCTGCAGCAAAGGGAGTGGAACACTTGGACAAGAAGCAGCAAGTGGACCTTGTCCACGAGCAGACCTACCCTCCTTCTCCAGAAGATCCCAGCTGATTTCTCTGGCTGTCTGTAGCTCCCTGCCCTTCTCCTGCCTTCTTCCTTCCTCCTCCATCCCCAGGAGCCAGCCCTACCCTGAGATGGTTCACAGAACTGACACAGCAGCACTTCCCCGCAGCAAGCAGCCAGGCGGGTGTAAGAAACTGAGGGAGGTGATGGAGGAGCAAGTGAGACGGAACCAGAGGAGTCTGCAAGCTGCAAAGAGTGGGTTTAGGACGGCAGAGAGCCTGCTGCTTGGTCACCAGCGCATCCACCCTCTGAGCAGGACGTAGGTTGCTCAGCAGGGTCACGTTTGACAGCTCCTGGCAGGGAAGGGGGCTGTGCTGGAGCAGCCCCAGTGCCCTGGCTTTGCTCAGTGGTGGAGGGACCATTCTGGGGGATTACCACCAGGAGAAGATCATCGAGGCGGAGATCCGGGGTTTGCAGTGGCACCGCCAGTCCTCTGCTGCGTGCAGGGCAGAAAGCGCAAGTGCTAAAGGCGGTAGCTGTTTCCGTGAAACACGAGCAGGCTTGGCTCGCTCCGTCCCCGCGCTGACCACCACCTTGCTGGCTACTCGCAGCACCACGCTCTGCCAGCCCTGCCAGGCCCAGCGCAGCAGCACGCTTGGTTCTTCCCCAATTCCTCATCGTTCAGCAATCAGAAAAGCATTTAAAGGAGTGAAGGGAGGCCACCGATTCAAACAGATTCCCTCTCGCCTCCCGTGCTATTATCCTGAAAGACATGTTATCTTGAGCACAATACAATTTCTTCGGAAACCGAGTTTAGCACCACTTTGATCCCTGCATCCTTGGTAAATTCTTCAGCGGAACAGAACTGTTGGTTCCAGGAGAGATTAACATTGAAGTTGCATCCTTTTTAAAGTGACCCCCAAAGCTGTGCGTACAGCTCTGCTTCCCACTACTTGACAGGGGATGAAGAAAGTTCTTTTTTGTTGGTTTTTTTTGAAGAACAGGACAATTTCTTTTGAACAGCTCCAACTTTGCATGCCTTTGTTTTGCTCCATGCCCTTTGAAACACGCAGAGCCAGCAGGCTCCAAGACCCCCCCAGCCCGAGGCGAGCAACAGGGGAAGGTTTTAGACAGAACTTTCTTGTTTTTTCTTTTTATTGTTCTCACTAAAACCAAATTCAGCAACTCCCTGGCACACACATGAAAAACTATCCTTGCAGAATGCCTCCTGAACAAAGCTGAAGTGTGCCTACATTATGTCTTTCCACAGCCATCTACAAAATACTGAAAGCAAGACCTAGTTTTTCTGAGATACTTCTGTGGCCAAGAGGTAGAGAGGAAGACACCTCATAGCAGTCTGCCATCAAAAAGAACTGGAAAGGACAAATGCAGAACCATCCCATTTCCCATTTGCAGAGTGCTGTAGACAGGGACACAGCCGCTCCCCAAAGCACCCCCCAAAAGGCAGTCCTGGCCCCAGGGACAGGATTTGCCTGCTCAGGTGCAGCACCTTGTTACTGGGAACAGAGAGGCAGGCGGAGGCCTCTGTGCAGCTTCACAGACTGAGCAGGTGCTTTTTTACTCCTCCCTGTGGTTGGAGAACATGGAGCTGGGCTGAAGAAGGCGGCAGAGGACGGCCAGTCTTGTCTGAAATCAGGAACTGGCTGGAGGATTCTTGGCTTGTGGGGCAACAGTGCTGTAAAAAGAGAGAGACAGTCATGTCCAGCAGGCAGGCAGGACACCAGCAGCCATAAGAATGTGGAGAACCAGGGGCTCCCTCACATAAAACCTCACTGCTTGTAGCAGGAGAGCAGCTTAGACACGGACACCTTTCAGTGTGCTGTGCCGACTACAGAGCAGCATGCACCAGCCCCAGTGGGTGTTGAGACAGCAATCTTCGCAGCCACACCACTGTTAAAAACACTAAAAATGCTCTGGGCTGCACAGAGTGTGACTCTGCCATGCAGGCGTCTGGGAAAATGGGGAACCTGAACCAGAAGTGTCTAAGGCAGAGTCATTCTGCAGAGACAGAGGCTCTCTGTTTGCCGTGGTGGTTTTATCAGGGATGGGCATTTGGGAATTTTCTCACTCCTACACAGTCAGACTCCAATACCAACACCATTCTCAGGAGAGACAAAGACACTAGACGCAGACAATCTGCTGGAAGGTATTTTAGTAGCTGTAGTTCAACTGCAAACATACAAAAATGCATCGTCGTTCCGCTACCACGAATCTCTATGGGACTCTGCCCAAAAAGAGGCACAGACGTGACAGAACAGCACCAAACGCAGCCTCTCACCGACTCCATCTCGGTAGCATCATCTCACTCCAAATGCCTTTGGTACAACAAAGATTTAATGTATTACAAAACCAAACATCCCTTTTAAAAGAACGAAATAAATTACTTTCCAGTTACCCTTTTGTAAACAAGATTATTTGCTTCCCAGTAAACAAAGCCAGAAGATCACTGGAGGGCAAGCAGCATGCTCTTTCAAATAATAGTCTAGAATCATATTACTGAGGTAACTGCTTGGCATGTTTGCACTGGGCTGCATTACATCACCAAAGCCTCTGCCAGCCACAACGGTCACTCAGATAAACAGGCAGTGTCACATCCCCTTGCTACCTGCGGCCCTGAGCAGCGTTCAGCTGATCCTTCATGGCAATGGCATGTTTGAGCAGACTGTCAATGCTCTTGAAGTACACGCTGCTGTCAGTCATGTTCTTGATGGCACTGAAAGACGAAAAGAGAGGGGTGGAGGGAGACTGGTTAGTATTTCCACAGGCGTCATGGTTTTAGAGCACACAGCCCTCGACAGAGAGGGCTGTAAATAAGAAACCTCAACTTTATACTGCGCGTTGCATCTTCACACGCTAGCTAGCTGGTGGGTGGATTTACTGCTGGAGATTGGCAGGTCTGCACCGCGCAAAGAACGGGGGAAGAGCTGGCACGCTCATCAAAGTGAAGCCCCTGAGATCTGTGGTAACGGTTCAGAGAGCACTGCCTCGCACCCTCGCACCCCACCCTGACTATGCTCCCCCCTCGCTTACGCCAGGGAGGTGCCGGCGGCTTCTGCTTTGTTTCTACCACATCATCTCCACCCGCAAACACAACCCTCCTGCCTGGAGGAGTCTCTAGTACCTGCAGGCGTACTCCACCGTGTAGATGGCTCCTTGGCTTTGCTCCTCCCAGCTCTGCATGTCGGACTGAAAGAGAAGGCGGCATCGTTAGGTGCGCACTGGGCAGATGCAGCAGCGCAGCCCGCAGAGATACGCTCTGCCAGCCCTGCCCAAACAGGGGCTCTGGCTGCTTTTCCCTGGAAATTACATTTGGATTTTGTCTCCCGCTTGACAGCCTGTGACGTGCTCCGGGCACCACACACTAGCATTTAAAAGAAGCATTTATTGTGTGTATTTCTGGAAGGGCTACTAGTTCAGTACTTTGGATACTCTGGCAAATTTCCCCTTGTTTTTAGGTGTTTTAGCCCACAAGCCAGCTGAGATCCACGGTCAGTCAGGCTGTGAGCAACCAGCAATTGCGCTGAGTGCAACGGACCAGCTGGATCTTTCAGCATACTCAGGTGTCCCGGTGTGTCTGGCCCAGCAGGCAGCCAGAATCTGAACTAACACAGCTCCCGCAGAGTCCGGTCCTTAGTCCTTCATGCAAAACCAGGTAAAAGTTTCTTTCGCAGCACTGAAAGTTCTCGTTTCATTAGACCTGCCATTCATAAACGTTTTCACAGCAGCAAGCATCCCTGGTTTGCAAGCATCCCCATTTCAGAGCAGACTGTCCTCCAGTCTGCACTGAAACTCTGGCGTCTGATCCGAAGCAGCAGTCAGCGCTGTGCCCTTCTTTTCCCGAGCTTGGAAGGAGCCCCATAAACTTCACGCAAACTCAAGCAGCACCACATGCAGCCTGGGACATAACGGTACACTGTAGCTCCAAGGAAAGGGAAAACCAAACAAATACCCAAATCACAATGAAAGCGCAGCTGAATTCAGAGGTGTAGCCCAATAGAGAACTACTTCAAAAGTCCTTAAGTAGTTCAGGCACTAAAATATGTTCTCATGGGAGCTAATTCTCCAGTCTATTCTGCTGGGTCTAGTTACAAGCCAGAGGAAATCCAAGGGCCTCTTTCTGTGAGTGAAGGAGGTCGGGTAGGAGCTTGGACTGTATCCAGAATCACTTCTGCTGTTCAAAGCCTGCCCTACATGAGGACGCTTGACCACATCGCTTTAAACTACAAAAGAAACAAGCCTCTACATGCAATGCTCTAGGCAGTTCTCTGCAGGAGAGAGTCCTTCGACCCAGGGCTCGCAACCCCACAGAGACCGCGCTTGTCCCAGAGTCCAATAGTGTTTTACACGACTGTATCAGTTGCTGGGAACACGCTTTGTGTGCGGAGGCAACTGCAAAAGGCGCAGAAACTTTCCTGCAGCTCCTCACCCTGCTCTCTCCAAGAGGTGCCAGATGATCTTTAACAACCATTTAGACCCCGACGTCGCGCTGGCTCAGTCGCATGTGTCACAGCCGCTTGCTGTAGTCCTGCCGTTTCTGAGCATTAATAGATTTTAATCATTTCCCAGTATCGCAGCCAGTGATGCCT